AAACAAGCAGTGGGGCCGCAGACCAGAACCGTCAGCGCCGGTGCGTTTAGCATTCTCCGAGATATCGAGCGAGGCGCCGTGTCTAATAAACCCGCGTGTTCGGCACAGGAAACGATTTCCACTAGGAGACTAACAGCCCCAAACCGGGCACGTTAATCACAATCTCTGACTCGGCACGACGCTAAACGAGGTTACGTGCTCATCTTGCTAATTTTCCCAGTCGAAGCAAAAATTACTTTCAGAAGGTCACACAAATATAGATTTAATATTAGACTATTCATGTCAGTAGTGTGTGGGTGCTGGGTTCAATAATTCTCTTTTCACTTGCAGTCATTTCAGACCAACTTAAGAACGTATGAAATGTGGCCCAGAGTCAGGTGACCAGTCCATCCACGCACCCAATCACATCATAAGACTGAGGTCAGCTGGACCTCGCGGAGGACGCTGGCCGTATGGAAGCTCCAACTGACTGGGATCCTTACACACTTACATACAACATTGCTTTTGAACACCTGCAGGACAACATCACAGGATAAGCAGACCATAATATTTGCCCCCTGGCTGCTGCATCGCTATGATACCCTGATATTGAGCCGTTCCTGGGTGTAGCCCTTTGCTGTGACCCAGTTGCCTGCAGAGCAGTTTCAACATTAATCCCTCTACATTCGCTCCCTCGAAACTTGGTTAAAGTGATCAAAAGTTACAGTTAGATAAATCATAACTCAAGAGGAATCACCATTATGCTGAAATGCTGCCAGTGAAAACTATCTCCATAATTCAGAAACATAAGCTGGGTTCCGGATCATCACTGCTGCCCCTGTCAGCATTTCCACCTAGAATGACTGTTCTTTATGTCTGCAGTGCCATAAAAATGTTCAATCTTGCACATAAAAATGGGAACTAGTGCACGGGAATAAAACACGAAAATGGACCTGGAATTTTTAAATCAAACAACCCGTTTGCTTTTACCGATTCCGTGTGACAGCTGGAGACATCCGCCCCCACTCCGCCCCCTCAGATGTGCGCACAGGTGAGCGGTGTCTGATCAAACACTTGGGACCTTTTGCCCGGGTTACAGCGCATTATATTCCGCGATGGAGAGCACCGAGCCCGGTCCATACGCGGGACAAACACAGGTTCCGCTTCAGGAATGTATGTCTCACCGCGGCTGAGTTGAAAGGTAATGAAACGAAACGTAAACACTAGAAGGCAGACCAACTTCCGACTGGCGAGAGTATCAGTATAAGGATACTCTGATACTAAAACGTAATTAAAGAGATTTTCGCCATTGAAAATACAACAAAGACAGTGGGGCGGTGAGCAGATGTTAAAGAGTTAATAATGACAGTGTAGTAGAAGAAACTCTAAAGCACTTTACCGTCCGCGTCTTTCACAAAGATCTAATGAGAAAAATCACAACTGAGCTATGCTGAAAGTAATAACACATCTTTTGAGCAATTCACTAAATAAAACGTATTAAGAAAAGTCTGGAATTGCACACGTAGATCATTTTTAGATCCATTCTTACAACACATGGCGCAAATGTGCCGCGATTCGGTCATTTCTGTGACACACGTGTGATGGCACCGGGGTACTTACGGAGAATCCAGCCCAAAAAGGACACGAATGCCTGACCCTCGGCGAGGTAGTAAGAGCCAAGGCGGCGAAACTGACCGCCAGGATGAGACTCCCCAAGACCATCTGGGACACTCCGAGGGAAAGCATGATCCGGGTTCGCGTCCGAAACTCCCTGAGCCTCGACAGGCTGCGGGACAGGGACGCCGGGCTCAGCGAGTGGCTGACGGGCATCATCTCGGCGAAACGCGCTGCAGGAAACTCAGCTGGAAATAAAAGCGATCTGGGAAGCGGGCTGGGGAAACACCATCAAATCACAGTCCGGAGGAGGTCGATGGCTTGGAAAGACACCGAAATCCCAGGCTTTGACATCGACGATGCGGCAGTGACTTTTACTACGTTCGAACGTAAAAACTGGCCACCAGCACCCGTTCAAGAAAAATATATATTTCTCACAGCAATGCGGATGACTGAACTGCAAAATGCGAAAACGGCGCTTAAGTGTCAGCTGTTTTCTCTGGGGACGAAATGTGACTCGGTCGGCGGACTAGCTGGTAATACGCAAATCCATCAAAATCGGCAAATAGTTGAAAGAAAGCTGGAGCGGAGCGCAAGGAGCCGAAGGAGCCGAGCCGCACGTAGCGGTTCCGTTCGCCGGTGCGCGGCGCGCTTCATCTCGCCTCCCCTTTCTTTTGCCAAGGAACGGCCGTTAAAGTGACTGGCGTCTTCATCCCGGTGCTCAGAAAAGCATGGGAATCGCCTTGGGGAGAAAACGCTCACATAACCAAAGAACGAAAAGAACCGCAAAGGGGGACGTGCGAGCTCACGTGCAAAGCTGCCGTCGAGGTGATGCTCCTTTTTGCCGCAGCTGTCAAAAGGCGGTATGGGTTTGTAATCTCGGGTCCGCTGACTGGCCGACGGGGGTCTGGAAGAGAGCGGTCATGCCCGCCGCTCGGACAGCGCGGCTCCTCTCTCCTGCTCTGCCAAGCGGCGTGACGCCGTGCGGTTGGGTGCCTTTTCGTAGTAAATCAGAAGCATGGAGCAGAAACGAGGCACAGAATTGGTTTATTTGCACACTGCTGCTTTATTGCAGTAGATCGATTTCAGGAAACAGTACTACTGAAATCACAATTTTTTTAAAACAACAATTCATTATTTTTGTTAACCCTTAAGGTGATAAACAACTGGATTTAAGCAGAGGAGACATTCATTACGATTTAGCCCGTTTATGTAGATTTATAGCCTACTTATACTCACTTATATATACTTAATTATTAATCATTAGGTCACAACTGCTCATTGATGTATGATTTAATATGCGAAACAATTAGTAGATGTGGACAATTATATATATAGCATATATATATATTTACGTTATGTCCTTTAATCGAAAAGGCACGCGAGTTTGCATGTCCCATTTAATATCGCAACTTATATGGCTATCTTATATATATACTACAGATAGCATTTATATAACCGTATAGCATCCAAGCAACGGATTATCCGGCGCTGCGGACTGCATTAATGGTGTTGTATTTGCTGCAATCCGTCTTAGATTTAGTAATATAGGATGGAAGGTTATAACGTGTAACCCATCATCAGTACTTTGGGCATTTCTGAAACTCCGGGCATTTCCTTAATTCGGTGCTCAGGTGTCTAAACAGCCGTCCGATAATACTCCGCTCCAATAAATACTACTGATAATACTCCGCTCCGATAAATACTACTGATGCGCCTTAGACAATCTTCGGTATTTCCGAAAAAAAAGAGAAAAGACTGAAAAAATACAATTTTAAGCAATCCACTTAACAAAAAGTAAAATAGCATTCAATGGTGAAATATCAGTTTCTATCTATTTTCTGAAGGTCAAATTAAGGACACTGAGCTCATAATAGCCTGCTATTTGTAACGGTGTTTTGCGTCCACATGCCGTTAACCGCGTCCGCTGGTCGCTCACGTTTCTGTTTCTCGGAACAGAGGAAACTCTGTACTCTGTTAATGGTTTTTGGACTCAGCATAACTGGGGCACACTCCGCAGACCAGTTTTCCCACAACAAACTAATAACCAAATGACCCGGATTTACTGAGACATAATATTTCCTAGGCTTTACTAGAGCTGCCAGATAATTTAATTGTTTTATTAATAAACTTGCAGGTGCATACGCTAGTTAGTGATGCGCATCAACATCTTGTGGAGAATTTTCCTGCTCAGAAATTAACTGCGTTACGTTATTAAGCTTAATTATAGCGAGAAAGAGCCAGATTTGGATAAGCACAGGGAAAAAATCCCCGTGAAAGTTATAAAACAGAGGACAGGCTATAGGTCTTACACCCGAAGGGCCATGAAATCGAACGGGTCCATATAACCTGGGCTGTTAAAAACTTCCAGCAATCGCCTTAAAACACCCATTTGCGGACCCTTTTAACTAGAATTGGCCAAAAGTGTTACCATCACAAGCACTGACTTTGTTTTGTAATATTTCTCAGGTTATAAACGTTTGAATATTTAAATTGTAATGACCTGTCCGACACCGTTCAACAAGACGCCCGAATAACGTGACAAACGTTTTAAGTAACAATATATTAAGAACAAACACTTATGCAGTTTGTCACCTATTAAAATAGCATTATTTTTCGCCTTGACGGTTACACAAACAATTGGAAATAAGTGAATCTAAAGTATGCTTAAACGATTGCTGCATATACTTTATAGAATCCTAAACCATTTCATTTTACAACCGATACTATCAAAACGTGGCTTCAAAAAACTATAAGCATCGAAAGTTCTCATTTTACAACATAGTGGCAGCCATGCAACATAACAAAGGACTTATAAGAAACTGAATTTATATGTGTAGCTTTCATGCGTTTTGATCCCCCATCGCAGGATTTTTAATGAATCCATCCCGTAATGCAAGGTGAAGTGCGCCCCCGTGTGGCCCACTTACTGAAGTTCTAATTTTAGGTCATTTTCGATTACAGCCTTTGCGAAAGTTGCTCACGAAGCCGTTAAACTGCATGCCAGTCGTGCCCTGTCCGACACATTTTGCGTTTTCCAGCAGTTGATTAAATCTACTTATATTTTCTTATCGACAGGAAGAAGTTAAACTAAGGATTGTATTATATGCAGTGTACAAGTGAATTATATATATATATATACACATATCTCACACATACAAAATATTGCAGCATTGCAGTAACTCTTCGTGTGCAAAATGGCAAAAATTAATTCTCCGCCAGAGGTTTTCGAACATCGCCCCCTGTTGTAGGAACGCCTACATTTGATTCAGATCAATGTAGTTAAGCCTTTGTGACACGCGAGGGCGCCAAATATTCGTAGTGCTTCACTCACCCCTCAGCAAGCTTGGGAATCACAACTCACACAAATATATTAAAGTAACAAAAGACACCGGTGAACTGGACAGTTTTGTTACTTTAAAAATGATTTATTAATTGATACAGTGATACACGTAGAAATGTGCTGCAAAGAAAAACTAAAGCGAAAAAGAGAAAAATTACCACACATGAAGAAAAGCTAATATCCAACTTAAGCAGTGTTATATCTAAAGAAAATAGTAATGTGCCGTAATAAATTGTCTATTAGTACAAAAATACATTTTCAGGGCACACTATACAGCATCCAGTATCACAAAAAAAGAAGGGCACACGTTTTTCCAAAGCGGACCCTTTAAAGTACAGATTTTTAAATTATTTCAACCAAGCACAGTTTTATTTTGTAAATAAGCATAAAAAGGTTTTGTGACCAATAAAAATGTTTATATGCAGTGTGTATATATATATATAGATATTTGTAGAAAAGTTGGGTCCTTACTGCTAAGTTGCAAGTTCCAAGGCTCAAAGTTCAGAATACAAAGAGAACCGTTATTATATATATTTTTTTTTAGAAACCTTTTTTTAAGTTCAGTTTTATACAAAATAACAGACATACAAAAAGTTCATTTACAAACCATGACCGGATGCCATATGCTAGCATTATATACAGCCACACCTTCACGCTGTTAAAAGTTCTCTCTTCTCCGTTCACCACTTCATGTGCATAGGAGAAAAAAGCAAAACCTTTTCCTTCATCCCCGATTGCAGTCGTGTGCAGAATCGAGGTTCGCTTACATGGCGGGTGGGCGGCGTGGTGAAGACGCCCTCATGTCGTCATTTCTGAGAACTTAAACAGAAAGCTAAGGTCTGAGCGTAATAGAGATGTGGACGAGGCATCGCTGCTCGTGGTGGTGTGAGACTGGCTGGGTGACAGACAGAGCAGACTGGCAAGTGGAACCGGAGCCCAGCACAGCAGAGATGGAAACAGTGGGAGAGGTCTGATGCTTAAAAAAAAATGAAAATGGTAGAAGTGTCAAAAATATATAACTTAAAATGGAGCAGGAGAGTGCGGCCGTTACAGATACAAGCTGGTTCAGGAAATCACACCTTCAGTTCACCTCTCTATCATGAGCTCACCACGCCTCAGCAAAGCCAACAACGCACACCTGTCCATCCAACAGCCATTCATGAATACAGTCTCTGTGCATCACTGTCATTTACCTCTGCTGCTACTGCAATTTCCACTGTCTGTCAGTGTGCTGACACAGACACACATACACTGAGCCACACACACACCATCACAGACATCCACACACCCGCTCATCTTTCAATATGCTTCTCATTTGTGGAAAATCCTCCAAAGAGTGTTTTTTCCTCCTTCTGAAGTAGAGACTAGGAAACTTGGCTTTAATTGTGTTTCATCAGTAAGTGGCACTGGGCATGCATTCCAACAACAGTTTAAGAGTTTGTGTTTTCGAAAGCCTTTAAGCACCTAAAAATGGAAAAGAAAACGCAAACAGAACAGCACTTAAGAGGACAGTGTCCATCTTTCTTATGCTTTGCAGTTACAGTAAACGACCAGGGCACAAGGGGTTAATACTTCTTGGGTGGGCAGCCATGTGCCCCCCCGCCCCCTCCTGTGAGGGGAGCTGCCCAGCTAGTCCCCGCTTCTCGCTTGTGCTGCAGGCCAGCTGCATGCCCCTCAGAAGTGGTCGATGAGCACAGACACGCAGTTGGCTCCCACCAGGTAGTTGGGATCTCCTGGGAGCGACTTGTTCTGCCAGCTCTTGGGGTCACCTGATTAGACGAGAATGGGATCGCCAGTGTGGGGAATGGCAGACTGGTAACTGGACTGTGTACCGTGTCATCTGCAAGATCATCAAACTGGTGCTTTCATAACTGAAGCACACAGCACTCTGATCTGACTTAATGGCAGGTTTTGCAATAATAAAACCTCTGGAATGAATATGCAATTTACAGTCAGTGGCTGGGGCAAGGTCCCAGTCCTCAGTTACTCATTACAATTGCACACAAAGCTGAGAAATGCATCTGTAACAATGTAACTTAAATGCCTGCCTAAAATGCTAATTAGAATGACTAAATTGCACTGGAATAATGCAATGCTTAGTCCATACCTGCGTGTAGCCTATAATTCTATAAATGCTAATTGCATATGACAAGCTACACGTGGACAAATCTTGACTAAGCCATTTAATTTAACATTTTTATCTATTTAAAGATGTTATTCTGACCTCACAATTTTGTTTCACAAAATCACAACTATCGCAAATACATGTTTTTGAAGTACAAAAAAAACTGCTAATTAGCAAAAGCAGAATGACACACTGGATCCAGGAGGAACAGGAGTGAGGTGTCTGCGAGTTGAAGCTGCTCTGGGCCTGGCAGCGCACTCGAAAACTCAGGACTCAAAAGACTATGTCAGAGTCCAGTGCAGTCTAAAGCGAGAAAGGTCACTTTCTCCTTATCTTGTGTTAAATAAGAGGGCCACTCTGCAGCCTCACAAAATGAGGCCCCAGGGCCAGTTATCCTAAACAGAGGCTAATTAGCTGGTAATCCACCTCTATGCCAAGTTTAAAGTAAGAAAACAAGGGAGCAGATGCAAGTTGAATTCTGCGATTTTCAGTATGTGCAGGGCCAAGACAGACAGATGTACAGCTGAATGTAGCAGGAATATCAGAGAAGCTGCGCGGCACAGCCAGCCAATGAAAGGCATGAGGTTCTCAAAGCTCGACAAGTCTCCTCAGATGCTAATCCATTCCCTCTGCCTACTGACACACATTCGCAAATGTAAAAGGCTGGACAAGCAGCTGAAGCAGACCAGCTGTCCTGCCACAGGGAAGGAAACACCTTTGAAGGAGAAGAGGAGTTTGATCTGGAAATCGAGGGAATTGAAACGATGGAATTATAAAAGGAAAGAGGGGAACCGATGAAGGGAAAAGGAAAATGTGTCCCCATGTCCCACAAACAAATGATTACAAGAACAAGCCAGTGTTACAACGCCCCCAAGAGGAGAGAGGACAGCGTACCCGACGAGGAGTCGGAGGATTTTAGAGCAAAAGACCAACCGTCGGGGGTCATGGACGCACAGTGAGGTAAACGGAGCTCCACGGGCTTCAGGAACTTGAGGCCATGAGGGCCACACATCACCAGCGGGCTGAGCAGGGTCTCGCCTGCAGGGGGCGCAAGAGGCAACAAGAGATTAGGGAGAACAGGAACGGAAGACTGGGCCATAGTCAGTCATTGTACAGCGGGATAAAATGTAACAAGGACAAAACAAAAACAGAACAGCCTGCGGGGAGAGAAGGCAGTAAAAGGGAGGTGAGGAGTCACTGGCGAGGAGAGAAATGGCACTGAACTGTAACAGAGACCTGTAATCGAGCAAATGGTAACCATGGGGAAGGATACAGGACTCCATTACATATGACCGGCTACCACTCATTACATCTTTGAAAAGGCACATCACATGCAATACCAGTCCACAGCCAACAGGGCGGCGGTACACACCTTTCTCCTTGTCGAGAGGTGGCAGGATGCTGTTGTCCCTGCAGACTTTGAAATAGATCTCCTGCTCCACACCCTCAGGGATGGCACCCTGGGGTATAATGATGCTGACCCCCGTCTCGATAGAGCTCAACACTCCGCCATTGCTATTGAAGATGCCCCGTGCCGTGGCCACCACCGTGTGTCCCTCATCATCATCATCATCCTCCAGTGCACTGGGGCTGGGGGTGAACAGCAAGGAGTGGACATTCACACACCAGCAGGGGGCAATGGAACGGCCTCACCATGGCTGACATAGTTGGTGAAACTACAAACATCAATTTTATGCTTCTGGACATTCTTTGATCAGGCTTAGTTGGGATAACTTCTGCTAAAACACACAAACCTGATCCCAGGCATTAAGTTCTTGTTATATAGATTTACCAATTGAACCATCCACCACAATGCTGAGAGCTGAAAATGACACCCATGAAAGCCCACTGGATCCAGAGTAAGAACACTACTCCGGGAACCTTTCAAATGTAGCCTTCAAATTCTTCCAGGCAAAGGGGAGCCGCCGTTTCCCTACCTGACAGGGATAGCCTTGGGCACGGCGTTGATGTTGTTCTGCTGGTACTTAGGCCTGTTGTCCATGGTGCGTGGGAAGGTGTCCAGGCCGCTGTCCTGGTCGGCTGGCTGGATTGAGCCCGGGGGCTTGGTGATGCTGTTGGTCAGCCCCGGACCCTTCGGGGCAAGCTCTACCTTGGGCTGTGTTTCACTGGGCAGCAGGTTGTGATTGAACTTGGGACTCTCGAACTTGCGCTCGAAGGGCCGGGCGGAGGTCGTGTATGGCTTGGGGACGTAGCGGTTGTAGTTGGTTGTTGGCTTGGATGCCTGTTCTGTGCCATTCACTGGGGATCTCTCTGGGAAGCTCTTCTGGGGCAGGAAGGTGGTCTGGACCGTGTCTTCACGGTTAACAGGTCTCAGGCCTGTCAGCTCAGGCTTAGCTTTAGGAGATCCGGGGGGGTTCACTAAGGACAGTAGGAACGGTGTGTAATCAGTTAAGGGGAGCCTACAGAAGCGGTTATACTGCACATGCGACCTTTACGCTACAGCCCTGCCCACAGAGCACTTGAATTGTAAAGTGTCTTTGAGTGTGTTAATAATAATAATAATAATAATCATCAAAATACTACTACTACTACTACTACTACTACTACTACTACTACTACTTACGTTCAGGGGGGATTGGTTTGGGGAGTGTGGGGGGTGCGGAAGCTGGGCTGGATGCAGCTGCAGGTTCGTATCTCTTCTCAGCAGGGCTCAGCTTCTCCACAGGATCCACCCTGGAGCATAAGACACGGCAGCGTCAGGACTGGGAGATGAAGGTGTCGGCCCACAATGCCAGCAGCAAATAAACAGGGAGTACGGCAGGGGCCTGAACACGCAAGCTAACCGGCTCCACGGAGCTGCCCAGGGAAGACAGGCAGGTGCTTTGGCTGTGAAACCAGTACTGGGAGACCAAGGGCCCAGAGCACATAGACTTCCTCAGTGCAGTTTCTGAAACCTCATACTCACTCCTGAGATATTATTACAGGCAGAAAAATTAACTACTAATTATCAGACAAACGAAAAAAAAAAGTGGAAAATAGAAGTCTGGAATGCTCCAGCTGAATAGCAGATGACAAACATTCATCATGGACAGCAGGGCGGTTTCTGCTGACAGGCCCAGCTGAGCACCTTCTGCCGGGGCTCCTCCCCCTCCCGCACCCCCTCCCCCGGATATGCGCACTGGCGATCCTGCAGGGCCTTAAAGCGGTACAGCCAGGGCTAAAGCCAGCCTGCGTTTCAAGCAGCCAAAGTACAGGCACTGTGGGATCTTCTGCATGTAGCAGTGCGAGACAGAGGGGCATGAGAATGGAGAAAAAGAACAAAAGAAAGAATGACGATGATCGTTCTGGGTTTCATCCAGCCCCTCACATTCACACAAGTCAGCAGACCAGTGTCGACAGAACGCATCCTAAGAAGGGCTTGAAACGGGCTGAATTTTTCCACAGACCAGCAAATAAACAAGCAGCAAGACTGGCATCAGTAGCAGTGCTAAGACCCCAGAGTCTGTGTGTGTGTGTCAGCCTGACAGGCAGTTTCTGGGCCCAGTGGAGTGTCTTGCCTGCTCCTCTGTATTCCCTGACTGCGCAGCTACGCAGGCGTGGTGAGGGCTGTGTCATTCTCATCACTGTGCAGCAGGAGTGACACACAGTACACGCTCAGGCCCATTCTGGCTCTTGGCCTCAGCACGTGCTGCAGCCTGTCAGAGCAGTCTGCACTGCAGCTTGTCAGAGCAGTCTGCACTGCAGCTTGTCAGAGCAGTCTGCACTGCAGCTTGTCAGAGCAGTCTGCACTGCAGCTGTCCACTGCAGTCTGCACTGCAGCTGTCCACTTCCTCTACACCGCAGGTCAGGACCCAGAATCTGCTGCATATGACACCAGGGATCCTGAGGCCCTTTCTAGCATCATGACATACGCCACAAACCCCCACCCCTCTGAACAGTGCCAGGATGACGCAGGGGGGGGTACCTGGGGTATCCGTAAGGCTGCTGCGTGAGCAGCTGCGCAGGCTTGCTAAGTTCTGGCAGACGATTGGTGGCGGGGGCCGCTGGGGGCGGGGCCTTGTTGTCAAAGCTGCGCCGGTCGAAGAAGGACAGCTGCTTCCTGTAGTACTCCTCATCCTCGTCGGGGTCGTAGCTGTTGGCGCGCACAAGTTCGTCAGCAGGCTTGGGCTGAGGTTTCTGCGGCTCGGGGGCTCTGAGTGAGGGAGAAGGAGACCTGCCAGTGAAGCTCTGGGATAGATTTGGGCCTCGCCTCTCACAAGCGGGCCAGAGCTAGTCAGACAGGCGCGTAGCTAGCAGTACGGCTAGCGAGGAGGTGCTGAGCCACCTGGACGCCACACAGGGGCTGATTAAGGCACTAGGCACGCCGGCCCCGCAGAGGAGGCAGCCTGTAATATCCTGTGTCCTCAGGCTACTCTCTGCTCATTGGCTGATGAGCGACAGCTTTACTGACAGCACCCAGTCAGGAAATGGATGCGTGTAAGAATCTAAAACTGTCAGCATTTCCATTGGTGACTGTCATCTAAAGCATGACAAATGAGGGCAGTTCTGCCAGCTATGTGAACTTGCACAACATGCCCACTAGAGGGAGCCACATGACTAACGACACACAGCTGAAGGAAAACGACAATGATGCAACATACTGTAGGACCGGGTCCCAGTCTGTAAAGAAGCTTTACATGCTGCCAACACCAAAACATTTATCACAACTGCTGAAAGCCACTTTTTAGCATCATAATTTGTAAAGGATAAGAACGCAATAATTACCTGTGGTTGGTCTTTTCTTGGTCTAGGTGGCTGAGGGAGTTCGCTTTGGGGACAGAGCCGGGAGCCATGATGGATTTGGAGGGCATGTCCCCAAGCTGTGACAGAAGAGAGCGAGGCCTCTTACTGACAGAAATGACACAGCTCCCAGAACAATGAACAGCACCAGCAAGTGTACAACATAAATAATTCTGACTGCTATTGGTCAATAAACCTTATGCTTTTAACAGCATGATGAAGAGGTTTGTGTGTGAGCAGCCTCTACAGACTGATAAGACGCAGGCAGCGGCGGCCGGAGCAGACAGGCAGACGGGCCCCTTGAGGGTGTTTCCTGCTGGACCCTTGAACAATTCATATGACCTGAATTACTTTGTTAAAAATACCCAGGATGCATAGATGGCTGCTAACGGGTCTGCAAATCAGTTGAAATAAAACTTGGAACAAAAAGCAAGCCTGTCTGTTCGCGCTCTGCTTAGCACACATGGGCGGTGGGGGGGGGGGGTTTTGGGGGGGATTTGGGGGCACCCACCCTGAGGCCTGCCGGGTCGCTCGCCTCTTTGGCCCGGTCCACAGACACAGAGCGCTTATTCTCAAACATCTTGACCCTGGTGAGGACAGACTGGGGTTTCATGGCAGGGTCATCCTCCAGGTTCTCTCTGGGGGGGGGCGGCAGTGGCTTGGGGGCTGTGGTGATGACTGGCTCCCCTTGGGGGGTCTGGGCCTCTGGTTTCGGGGGGGTCATGGCAGCGTCCGAGTTCAGAGTGGGTTCAAACTGGCCCGGTTTGTAGCCAGGGGTCAGGGGGCCCTGACTGTAGGGCTGCCGTGTGGCCGGTTCTCCGTAGGACTTGGGGGGCTCCGGAGAGAGCGAGGCAGGGGGGGGGAAGGCGTAAGGCTCGGCTTCGAAGTGAGGGCGCGCATCGTAGGATGGGAGGGGCCTCTGGGGGGGCTCGTCGTAGCGTGCGGGGCCCGTCTGGCCCTTGGTGAAGGGCTCATAGTGCGTCTGGCCGTCATAGCCCAGCGGGGGTTCCTCATAGCGCGGCCGCGTGGGGCTGAAGTCCCTGTCAGGTCTGTCCTCGTACGGCCGGCGTGGCTCGTAGCCAGCGGGGTGCTGGTTCTCCTGGGGCCGGCGGGTCGCCGCGTAACCGGGCATCTGGGGTCCAGGCTGCTGCTGCTCGTAGGGGGGCCACTGTTCACTGTAGGCCGGCGTGCGGTTCTCCAGCGAGTCGAAGCCACGCCCCTTGGGCTCCAGGTAACCTCCCCCTTCGTAGCGGTAAGAATCATAATCGCGGTATGGCTGTTTGTCCTGGTACAGCGGCTGGGACTCATAGCTGGCAGGGGGGGGCCCCGCAGGCTGCGGCTGGGACTGCTTGGGTCCCTGGTTCAGCCGCACCGGCTCCTCCAGGCCGTAGAGATCCTTCTTGTACATCTGCGAAGAAAACGTCAGAGCCAAATGAAATTACCAGGAACGGAGATGTTCAGAGAACACCTTATTAACTGTGGATGTGACATATAGCATAGTAACGCAGAGCAGATATTTTCAAGACCATGTTAGTCTCCATTGCTGGAAAATCAAGCCAAAAAAGGCAGGAACCTGGAATGGGAGACACTAGAAGCTTCTGTTATTTTGCTGATTGCACAGTAAGCATTAGACTACAAATGTAAGATCATACTTATGGAGTAAAAAGGCACACACACTTACCGTGTCATATCTATGTTTATATTCAGTGAAATCATAAAGCATAAAAACCATGAGCAAACAAAAAATTAAGATATGGTTGCCACTTCAAAATGCAAAACCCTCCATACAATCAAACACAGCCTTACTGAAGCCCTAAAACAAAACCAAAAACCTTAAATTTGACATGTAGCCTTCATACCATCTCCAAAATAACTCATTTGTGGCACCACTAGACATAAGCCGAGCTTCCTGTCAGCGCACAAAGGCTACATTTCAAACCCAAGACCACGGGATAAAGGTCCAACAAATGTTTGAAGATGTCCCACCCTCCCCAGAAAGTTTTTAAACGTGCAACTACCAAGTCAATGAAATTCAAGGTTCATTCAATCCGCAACAAATACAACCGGTACCAATTAAAAAAGGGAAATGAATGGCACAGGAAATTAACAGGAACAAAACGCAAAAACGCTGCAGCCATGCAGAAAAGTAAATAAGCATCGGCATTAAATTCTGGGTCCTCTTATGCCCCTCTGCCCAACTATCCCCAGGCACAAACGGGGCAAACCCCGCCTCTCCCACTCACGCCAGCTTTCCATTGGTGCATCAAGTGACGCCTCTCTGTCTGTCAGAAGCACATGTACGGCGTAGCGTTCATGCAGCAGTGAGTGGGAAAGCATGGAGATAAACAAGCAGGCATCAGCAGGGGGTGGGACGGGGGGGCAGGCCGGCCAGGTCCAGAAGGGGGACGGCAGCGGTACCTTTGGTTCTGAATTGGGCAGTCCGGATTGGTTGGGGTCGAGTGTCGGGGGCTGAGCTAGGTCAGGGGTGGGCCTCCTAAGCAGGGCAGCCTGGGGGCTGTGGCTGCTCGGGGCAGCTGGAGGGGGCTCCTCAAGGTTCAAACCAGCTACATGTACAGGGTTGTTCTCGACAGCAGGGGGCGCTGTCACAGCCATGGGCTCAGGCTGCTGGGGGAGGCAAGGCATGGCGGGAGCAGCCTCTGCTTTCTGTGAAGTGGTGTTCAGAAACGTTTAATACACGAGCTGCTGTGGCAGGGCTCACCCTCACTACAGCACTCCTGCTTGCTCCTGCTCACGCCTCCGCAATCGCCTCGCACGCTGCCTCGCACACTGCCTCACGCGGCCCCGCCCGGCTCGCCACTTCACTAACAGCTTCATGCACGAAGGCAACGTTTTGCAAGAATTTGCAACAGGACAACGTTCTGTTGTTTACTTGGTCTGATTTGATTTTAATTCTAGATTACAATACAGCTCTTTGCTCTTTTTTTTTTTTTTTTTCCACACAATCGGTTAACAAATGTCATGGCAGCTATTAACCTGAATAAATACATTTACAACAACATGGTTAACACTGACAGTTCCAATATGCAAGGTAATACTTTCTGGGTAGACATCAGTCTCGATTCACAAGCAGACAACTACAGGCCACATATTTGGGCACCATTACAGAGTTCACAGAGATTTTTTTTTTTTTTCCAACATCGAAATCAACATCGAGATCAAGGTCAGTCACACAAAGACAACAGGTCACAGCTACTGTATCTAACAGCCAAGCTTATATTCAAAAATAAAAAAACACACACACTCACAAACGAACATGGCCACGATTTGTTTTCATTTTGTTCCTGCTCGGACGCCAACGTTTCACAAGCTGGTTCAGTACCTCCTCCAGAACACCTTCCTCACACACACCACGGCTTCCAAGCAACAGGGCAGTCGCACGGCTCTGAGAAACGGTACCTGCTGAGCCGCCGGCGTCTTGAATCCGGCGGGTTCTATCCGGTCCAGAGGCTCGGGCTGCACAGTGTGCTGGTACCCGGCGTATCCGGGAGGCTCCTGGATTACGGGCGGATCTTCTGTCACGGGCTCTGACGAGCGGGTGATGGCAGGCTCGCTGGGAAGGCCCACCTCGTCATTGAGCGTTTCGTCCAGCTCCTGGTCCGTGTAGGCGCCCCCCTCCGTGTCCGTGTCCTCGTAATCGGAAGTGTGCCGGCTGTCCGTGCTGTACATGGAGTACTCGCTGCCCGGCGCCGACAGGTAGGACAGCCGGTCGTCGTGGAGGTCCAGGTCATCGTCGGGGGCACCATCCGCCTGATGGGGGCACAGAGGCAGGAGAAAGGGGGGGGGGGCAAAGAACGAGAAGAGTAGTATTAGAGGAATATCAGGCGGGGGGGCAGTTCATGAGAAAACCCTACATTAGGTTATACTGAGGTTTGAAACAGGTTTATATAAATAGTGCTGTATGTTGACAGGTGTGCACGTGTTTGTGCACGAGGAATCCAGACACGCCAACCTGGCTGCATGAAAACAGTGAGATAGGTGATAAGCCTGTGCAGTTTGGTGACAGCGACGAGGCTTCAGTGAAAAGGGAAGGTCACAGGCGTGTCCCGGCGGCTGTGGGAGCCGAGCGCAGGGAGGGGCTCACCTTGCCCTCTGACACCCAGACCAGCTGGTTCTGCTGCTGCTGGATGGTGTCCTTGAGGGCGCCGTACCAGCCTTCATTCATGCTGTTCATGTTGATGGTGCCTGTTTGATCAAGGGCAGAACAGAAATCTCGAAAATGAGCCCAGGTAAAAAACAGGGACCGGTGCAGAGTCAACTCCGGTGACAGCCCCCCCCCCCCAGCAGGAGTACTACATAAAATGTTATCTATCAGGCTTCACACGTGGGGGTGCAGGTGAGCCAGGAGTGCGAGATGAGGGGCCGCTGCCGAGGGGCCGTACGACAGGTGAGCCGACACCGTACTGCACAGGCTGACGGGCATCTTCCTGTCCCACCCCCCACTCACTGGTGAAGAGGTGCTGGTTGTTCTTCCTCAGCTTGAGCGCCCGCTCGTACAGCTTCCTGGCGCTCTTCCTGGACTCGGGGCACAAGCGCGTCCTCATGTTCTTCACGCCCTGCTTGCTGTCGGGGTTCAGGAAGACCACGATGGGGTACCACTGTGCGTAGTTCAAGCGGTCCACCGCATTAGGCGTGATGTCCAGCACTGCGTGTTTATCCTGCGGGGGGGGGGGGGGGGTTTGCAGGGATCAATATGGACACTCCTCCACCTACCCACTGCTAACACAGGCATAGCTCTCCTGCCAAGCGAGCCACTCACCCGGTCAATGATCTGCTTGATGGTGTGCAGGCGGATGATTCCAGAGCTGCGCGAGTCCGTTCCTGCATCTCTGGGCTCGCTCTCTGCACAGGGAAGGTGCACATAGGACCGTGTATAAAGGTGCACTGAACCCCACTTAATGACGGCAGACGTAGCCCCTCATGAACCGTAAATGGCTTAATTTGCATGGCATTTCCGAGTAACATGGCTATACGAGGATGTGCTGGCCAATCATGGGCTGCGGTGAAGATTATGGAAAATCCGGGTGCTGAAACTTGGCAGTTTCAGAAATGTAAACCTGGTGAAGCTTTCACTTCTTGTTCCTCCCTCATCTGTGCAGATTCCCTGCTGCAGCTCTCCTGGCTCCACATCCATCTGCTCTACTGACATTTATTAAACTCAAGACAACTGAAGATGAACTGTAATGACCTTACATGGATGTAGACAATAGATATTGTTGAAATGCAGAGGATCGTTACTCATAGCCAGTATTACCAGCATAATGGCTGATGGACTTTGACCTACGGGCTATAAAGCACGTTTCTGAAAATGCTTCTCTGAATCTTTAACCTATTGCCAAACGAAATCTTAAGATTAGTAAAATGCTACTTTGTGATGTAGCAAGTTTCAATGCTGAAAACTGCGAGCAGTCTAGTTGTTACTTTTACATTTTACATGTGAGAGTGTGCAAGGAAATGGAACGAGGCAATTTTTTTAGAGTGGAGTTGGGAGGTGAAATTACTAACCTGCATTTAAAAAAGAAAATACTGAGAAAAAGGGAATTAGCAAAAGGAACCATATAGCATCATGTTTAACAATCTGACTACTGTTCTACACAAGGCCGGAAAACCCCAGAGTGCAGGCAGCCTAAAACCAGCTCATCAGCTAGGTAATGAAGAGCTGCTACCAGCACACAGACATTAATATCAGAAACACGGTATGATCAAAAACCAAGTGGAGTGATGCTGTGTCCTGAAAATGATATGCAAGGCGAAGGCACCGGAGTATGATCAAGAGACGCTAAGTGTCAAATTGCGAGTGCAATTAGGTAATTGAAATCAGATACTGGGCTGGTGTTAAAAATGCAGCCATGAGTGACCGCTGGCTGCTTCTGGCTGGGGGAGGGTTCTGCAGGTGGGGGCTGTGGGCGGAGCAGACAGTAAGGTGTAGTGACAGGTGTTGTACTCACTCGCCAGGTCAAAGACATCCGGCTCTTCCCTAGCCAGTCTCTCCCGAGCAACATCGGCGATGGGCCCGAAGATCACCACAGGCCGGAGGAACCCAGCTAAGGGAACGCGGAGAACATTCCGGCAGTCAGCACAGCTACGCAAAATTAATTAGTCACTGGCAGTCCAATGGGGAACCACCCCCATGCTGCTTGCAAGCAGGAAAACGGCAAACAGCCACAAACGCTCACCTTCCCTCAGCACCACTCTCTCATACGCGGGGAACTTGGTCTGGACAGGCTGGGCTGACAGGTCCTCCCGGCTCTTCCGCAGGTTGCGCTTAGAGCTGCGCAGGCCACGGAATCTCCAGAAATCCGCACGGTCGCCCCCTGCGGTTTTGGGGAGAGTGTACTGCACACTGGATAGCTGCTCTGCCCTGTGGTGAGGAGAGGGAACAGCATCCTGCATGAGAACAACGTGTCACTCGGCCAGTGGGCTAGAGACCATTTACAGAATGTCTTCAAACAGGTGAAAGGGACGACAGCGGAGAAAAGCGGCCTCCATCGCTGGGCCTGATGTTCTCTGTTGGTCTCCTGTGACAGGTGTCCCCCATTACTTCTATTCAGATGGTCTCCGTTTAGCTCTAACAAGCCCCAATTAAAGATAAACAATGGGGTGCTTGATACACGGCAGGTGCTGTTCCACCATGTGTCAAGGGAGGACAGGTTTGTGCCATTCCATACAGCCCGGTGACCAGAGACAAGCAGGGGGTCTACAAGGCCAAAAAGATGTCTGAGAAGACCCCTAGTGTCAAAGCACCTGTTCTTGTTGGGGATGATGCCCCTCTCCACCTCCTGGTGGTTCTTGCCGATGCGGATGGCCAGCCAGGAGCCCAGCTTGCCGTTGTAGAGGGTGTCCACCACACGGAAGACCTCGCCCTTGTTGAAGCTCAGCCCATAGGGGGACTCTTTCTCATACTCAAAGTGGGTGCGGATGTAGAACGAGTCACCAACGTCCGACTCCACAATGCGTCTGTATACTGGGGTGTGGGGAGAGCGCGAGAGAATTAAAAACCGCAACCGAGAGGAGAGAACACAGCAAAACAAGGGAGTCGTCACCCAGTCACCATAATTTCATAAAGAGGGTTGGTTAAAGTCCAACCATATCTAGCTACTCTCTCACAAGCAATAATGAGAGGGTGGGGATTCTTTAATGTTTGCTAATGGATCAGAGTTCAGCAACACATGTGCTAATGTAAGCACAGAAATATGCACACACAAACATAAACTAGTGTCACTGGGGAGGCTTGAGAAACACTTTAGAAACACGTCTGCTCTCCAGCCCTCTGCTCCACTTACCGTCTTTCTTCTTCTGGGCCAGAATAGTGATTTCTTCACCCTTTGGAAGATCAAGGAGGAAGAGCACCGCTTCCTCTCGGATGATGTTGGCGAAATCAACATTATTTACCTACATAGGGGGGAAGCAGCGGGTCAGCGAGCTGCCGTGTTTTTCTGTGGCCGCCCCCGCACACCCCCGGTGAGCGGGGAGGGGGGGCGCGCTGCTCACAGCTGTGGAACTTTGGCTCTAACTCAAACGCCGCACATATGGCCACGGTCAGAAAGCCAAGCAGCGGCACCCCTCCCATTCTCAAATACTAACTTTTGCTTTTATCTTAAAAAGAACAACAAAGAAATACTAGGGAACAGTAGGAGCCTCTCGGTCTGAGAACCGGCGATAAGGAGCCATGTTCTGGAAGCATGCTGGAGGCTGGAGACGAAAGCCATGAGACGTATGGAGGCGGCAGGCGAGCAGCCCAGCATAAACAGGCAGATATTCACTGTGTATCAGGAGGCCAGTTTCAGGGCTGCAGGACCATAAAAACCGAGAGCAGGCAGGTTCAGGCCATGGGCTGGTAACCCCAAGGGCTTCACTGGAAATTTTACTGCATTATACTGGCCACAGCCTGAACGGCGACTTAAATATCCACACACACACACACACACACACACACACACACACACACACACTTCTAAAAATGCATGAATTTAACCGCCAGAAGCTTCTTGGGTAGTGGTTGTTAAAACAGGTGGAGCTGCGAATTAACAATGGGAGGCTGGTGTAAGATGCCGCTGGATGGAAAAGGGGGCAGGCCTGAGCGTCACAATGAGCCGCATTGTCACCCAGCCGCACGTAAACATGAAGACAGAGACAAGAACCGCAGCTCTTTCCCATTGATAAAGCGCCTTTCTATTTACAGCTGGGCCGCTCACGTGGCAGAGGGGCAGCACTGTCCTTCTCAAAGGGCCACAGCTCTACGTCGAGCGTAAACAGCGAACGGGCCGTTATGCGGGACGGTCAGCAGCGGGGCGGTGGCCGCTCACAAAGCCACCGACTGACAGAGTGACACTTTATAAATACCACACGGAGTTATATGAAGCCGGTAGCCAAACACTGCTCATTTCAGGCACACCTTACCCGCTCGCCGTCAACTTATAAAAAGGCAGAAGGAGGCAAGTGTGCAGAAACCGTCACATAACTCCAGGAATCAGGTTAATCTAGACCTTGAGGCTGTAAAAAGGGGTGACATCTGGATGAAGGGAAACGGTGTCCTAGTAACCCCAGCACCTGTGTACATGTGTGTGTGTGTGTCTGTACACATGCGTGTGTAAGTACACGTGTGTGTGTGTGTGTGTGTGTGTGTGTGTGTCTGTGCGTGTATGACCCCATACCCTGAGAATCTGATCCCCCTCCTCCAGGCCCTCCTTGGCAGCGGGGCTGTCCTCCAGCACGCCGGCGACAAAGATGCCCACATCGTTGCCCCCGGCCAGGCGCAGACCCACACTCTCCCCTTTCTTAAACTTCACCAGCTTCATGCTTGGCCTGAGAGGAAACACAGAGACATGAACGTGAACCGCCACAGGACGAAGGCGCCAGGATAGCGAGTTCCGGAATTGGGACGTGGGGGAGCAACCTGAGGATGCTGTCGTCGTGAGCGGCGCTGGGTACAGGGGCATCGGAGGGGCTGACGGGCAGGTCCACATCAGGCTGCCCTGGCTGGGCGTACACTGGCTTGGGCTCTGATGACAGAACACACCCACAACCACAAGCTGAAGCGATCAGTGTTAAGAGGCATTATGCACACAGCAAACAGTAACAGAGACTCAGTAGAATTAGAGCAGTATAGTCTCAGACACACCACGATACACTGCTTCAAGCTGGGTCAGCAATTCTTGGTAGACATTGCTCATTTTCACTGTGCTTTGGGCAAGTGACCTCACCACTCTCTCAGACAGCATTTCACTCTCTTAGTGGTTACACAGTCATCAGTTTTGATCTGTATTTGGTGCAAGAGTGCCACGCCCAAGCTCACCTGGAGTGTTTAACAGAAAATCCAATGTGACTAAATGGATCAAAGTATTGATGCTTGACCGCCAATGGCCACGTGTGGCTTCATGACACATTCAACGGCTGCATGACAGCAGCGGAGAACGGCTGTCGGCAATCGATGCTCCTTAACCACAGCTGAGGCAAATGCTGATGGCCAGGAAGAGCCCTGCTGAACCTCACTGCCTCACCGAAGCCATAACAGATTCTACATCAGCTTCTCCAGCACGCAGTGACCTATCTTCTGAGCAGAAAGCGAATGCCAAGACGGGCATTTGTTGATTCAAAACGCTCTGCACTAAAGTGCTACACAGCCATCAGGGGGTGAGGCACCTCAGTGCAAGCAGGCAGAGTCTCTTATGCACTTGACAGGGCAACAAAGTCTGTTACTGCAGTCAATCAGGAATCCCTGAGCATCCAACACCCCCACGCCCTTAGGGGACCGGCGCCAGCACGGCCCTGCTGCTTGGGGTCGTCACCCAGATGAAATCATGGCCTCAGACTGTGACACAAGCGGCCAAGCTGAGCCTACGCTAATCCCGAGGCGTCTGAACGGGAGGCGTTTGCCTGGAGTAGCTGCGGCTGCTTGTCAGAGCTGAGACCAGGCTGCCAAGCCACAACGGGTATTAGAGCTACAAAGGATCAAGAACGAGGTTCACAGCCACTCAGGACAGAGGGGACAGAGAGGACAGAGGGGGAGAGAATAATGGGGTGTTTTGGAGAAGAGACAGGGCAAGCTGGGGCGGCTGCCCGGCTCTCTGTGGGCCCCTGACCTGGCAGCGGGGGCATCAGTTTTTCGTCAACGGGCACTGGTTGGTCAGTTATGGGAACCTCCTCGGCCGACTTGACAGGCGTCGACACGGCCCCCGGCTTGGAAACCCGCTCCTCCTCACGACTCCTGTGGCTGGAAACAAAAACAAGGCAGTTATTCCTGTTTGTCATCATTTGTGACATTGCCGGACACTGAAGGGTGCCAACAATCAAAGGGTGCCAGAAGAGGGACACATTTGGCAAATCTCCTACTAAATGCGAATCAGAATAAGGGGGGGGGAACCAAACCAGGAATGGATGCTGCAGAATTAAGACAAGTGGAAAGCGTCAGTCTTCGGTACCGACACAGCAGGGTTCTGGTTTCAGGATTTACCAGCAGATCCTCCTCAGCACCAGCAGAAACGGCATAAACACATCCAAAGGAAACATGCACTGAGGGTAACTGCTCTGTACCAACCAAACTGGTCATGACTGGACACACCACTCTTGAATACCAAGGCCACCAACTGGATCCAGCTGGACTCAACAAAATCATATTTTCTGTGTGTTTTTCCCCACTACATTCATCCCAGACCAAGGATCACTGAGATGTTAATTGATATTGAAGAGTAAATGTCGGGATCTGCCAAAAGACTGATGCTTCTTATAAAAAAAATAAAGATAAAGATGGATATCAGGGTGCAAACCTTCTCACTGAGATTGAAACTCAACTGTGAAAAACACAAAGAGTTCTACTGCATGTCAGCTACACAAACCGAAGGAGTGTAACACAAGGCTGATTACAACCGGGAAAGCAACATTGTGAAATACTTTGTAATTTTCATTGCTCCTGATGGCACAATCAACTTGGTTATCCAAGAAACATTTAACCTTGGATGTGTCACTGGGTACGTACAGCTGTGTGCAAAAACAAGGCCGTGCAGACGGGAAAGCTTCCCACTCGCCAGCCCGTCTGCTCCACCCTGCGCTGAATTAGAACAAAAGCAGAATTCCTGCACGGTCACATGACAGCGGGTTGGCGCACAGTTCAACAAGCGCACCATAGGAATGAGATACACAGCCAGCACAGCCATATTAAACAGCAGCTCGCTGAAGTGCACCAGCAATGGATCTAAAGGACCACGCCAGAATATTTTCCATCAAATCGGACTGAAACAATGTCCAAGGAAACGAACCCTACAAGAGCGACGTGCAGGCAGGCAACGTCGCCTCCCCCCAGACACATTTAAAGGGATAATAAAAAAGCAGCAGTCCATGAGTTTTTGTAGTCTACGGACTAAAAATAGAGAGTGCTGACACCTGCAGTCAAACTGACACAGCAACAATCACCCTCTAGGTGCAGGTGAGCAACGACCTCCCAAAGGAAGACGCGCTGCATGATGCAAGCAGGACACACGGCCGCCATACGCAAACCCCGCCCACTCCTCAAAGCAGCAACACACACACACACACACACACACACACACACACACACACACACACACAGGACCCCTTTGTGCTGCTATTCAGTCTATAATACATTAATAATGTAAAACATAAGCATGGAACTGATGACAATTACATTTGCGTATGCCTTTCACTAGCGCTTCCCTCGCATCATTAAAGCCTGAAATATTTATTTTAGCTGCCGCCACACCAGAGTAGCACCTTAGTAATGCCGGAGCACATACCGCTAACATTTACACAAGGCCAGCAGAGCCATGTTAAACGGCCATGCACAGGGTAAGCGTCCTCCCGCTAAGGCGAATTCGCTGTCAATGCGCCGCCAAAATGAACACAAGGACAAAGGCTCTGATGTCACTCAGTACAGCTGGGAGTTTGGGGCATCAGAAAAAGGACAGAAATCTGTTCCCAGGAAAAATGCATGGCTGAATAAAACATGCAAGCGTGACTAAAATAACAACTAACAACAAAGTACTTTAAATACTCAAACATAATTGATGAATGTGTACAACTGGCTTAAAAAACACAATTTAATACTAATCTGGTGAGAAGTTTTAGTTCGGCTTTCCTTTAAAATCATACCATCCTTGTCTATGAAGTGCCCCTGCACCTGAATGGTTAATGTACCAAGATATATTGCCCTTGACACCTGAGACGATGCATAAAAGCTGAGAGGCGCCACTGCAGTGCCTGACGGCCACTGGAGCCGGTATCTGTGACCACAGCTGCCCAGCTAACAAACACAGGAAGCCGGGCTGGGGGACCCTGACGTGCGACCGCTCGCCCCAGGCTCCAGAACTCCACAGCCTTTCACCACGACAGTGACTGAGCAGCCGCACACGCACAGACAAAAGCCAAGATTATTCCAGAAAGTGTAGCGAATACAGTACCATATTCTGTTCATAGGCAAAGAGAAAACACACACTATAGTGGCCAAGCCAGAAACCCATCCTTTAAAGAGCCACACAGGGAAGTCCAAGACCGTCATATTAGGTGTGTGCCGTGTCACACACAGCAGGTTTATTTATTCCCCAACTTGTAGGTGGCTTTCCTTTTAAAGGTACAGAAAGATATGCATGGGTTTTGCAGCAAAGCATTCTGGGAGTTGATTACATGGGTACCAGGCAGACAATGCTCTCCAGGACAATCTGCAATCCCAAGAGCAGCACTCAGCCCTCTAAGAAGCATTGGCTTCAAAGTACACACAGAGACACAGCTATCTAGAGGGGGGCTGGCAGATATTACACACCACATTAACAAAATATTACACTACATCATTTGGTAACAAATTAACAAAAAAATTACTGCGTTTTTAAGAAAACAACAATACTCTTAACAATGGTGACTCATACCACCAGGAGGGCTGTGGGATTAGTTCCCAGCCCAGCTGTGTGTAGGTTTGCATGCCCTCCCTGAGTCTCCATATGTTAATTTTTCGCTCTGCTTTCCTTCCACAGGCCAAAGACAGCTCAGGTACAGCCGTGACTTAAATTGCTCCTAGCATGTATTTCTGTGTGACAGTGTGTCTTCGATGCACTGGCATCACCCTCAAGGTGCCCTGTGCTTCTTGGGGTAGGCTGCAGGCACGCCGTGACCCAGTCCTGGTGGCAAGACGGTTGGGCGGGCAGTCTCGACATCTGCCATCATGTCAAGGCAAACAAACAAACACACTAACAGAAGCCCGGTTCGGGGATTATCAGTGCAAGGTGTTGATGCGGACCCAGTACAGAAACAGCATTCTTCACCATGCACCAGCAGGAATCCCCCATACAACAGCTGACTGGGATGCCAGTCTTACAGGATGTGCTCCAAACACCACAGCAAAGACATCACATGATGTGTGACACTTACAGTGGAAGTAATCTGTGAAAAAGTGAACCTGCAATTCTGCATAAAAACAAAAAAGAAAACAAATTATTTAACAGCTGTCAGGTGGGAACTGAACGATTGAACTGGCTTTGTGACAAACAGGCAGCTGTAAATCAACGGAAGCATAAACAGCCCAGGAATTAATTATAGCACTAATTCTTCTCCTCCTACACTCATAGCACATTAGTGGCTACATCTTTATGCCAGACTTATAGTGCCCCTGCTGGCAAGCCCTCAAACATCTGTTAAAGAATTCAATTAGGGGCCTGCGTGAGTGGCACATGATTGCCTGGAAGCTGAGCGCAGGTTACAAAGAGGCTGCAAGATCAGTGACTGCACTTCCCTGACTTACTGGAGATCGGACAGACCAGCTGCCTATGTGTCAGAGCCGCTGTGATGTTCACCTGGCAAACAAAGTAAAAACTAAAGCACGCACATTCCTACAGGCTGGTTAAAGCAAATTCTCTCCGCAAACACATGGCTCTCTCTCTGCAGGTGCCAGCGACTCAGAAGCAAAGTTAATGAAGTCGAGGAAGGCATAAGGCGGCCTACGAAGCACATAAAGCACATGTGCATTTTATCAGCTGTGCTACATGTTGACAGGAGACACCAATTTAACATTCTGCTGCTCTTCAAGTCTGTTTTGACACTGAATCTAGCTCTATGCCTACAGGCTAATCTAGCCTGCATCCATACCGCACGCTTTTCAGCCCCTGGTGTGTTTAGAGGGCTGACAACAGACCCCTGGAGGGAACAGCCACTTACTTTAATCTCCAACGCAGGGAGCTAGAATTCCAACTGACAGAAATGCAGGGGAAAGCAGCAAATTAAAAACTGTCAAGAGGATGTAGCTACCGTTAGCTATTGAATTGCCAGTGTTTTCACCGAATATGAGGATCTGGCGTGTGTGTGTGTGTGTGTGTGTTCATGCATGCCACGTATGCTACCACCCTAATGCCATCTGGGGGGGTGGTACCGGAAGGCTGCACTACATAATTGATTTTATCTAGTTACCTAGACCCAGCCTCCAGTTTCATTACTCTGCTTTTTAATTTCCAGCTGGCAGTGGCGTGTGCCGATTTACGATGAGGTGCCAGCTATGCAGAGCCTTCAGGACGGCCACCGCCGGGGCCCCTTACCTGCCGTTGCTGACCAGCTGAGGGGAATGCCTGGACAACTCGGAGGGCTCGGAGCGCCGGTCGGGGGAGCGCGAGCGAGCGCTGCGGTTTCGGTCGTGGTTGGAATGGTCTGATGTCAGGGAATGAATTTCTGAGATATCTGTCAGGGTAAAGAGGGCCTGTTAATGAGGAGCACACCAACCAGAGACACGAGGAAGAACAGGAAGGGAAGCATGTAAAAGCTCATTCCATTTTCTCCGAGTTCAGTTCTGCCATCATCTTGGATATTTTCTCACACGACCTAACAGGTTGCTTACCGATTACGTCCTTCATGTAGGGTCAGATAAAAACTTCCCAAAAGGAAGTCATACAGCACAGAACAAACATCACATGTGGAGCAGAGACTGACACGGTCAGAAGTTTCACAAACAGAAGCAGGTTCAGAACAAACACAGGAATATAGCTGCTCAACCCTCCCATTACAAAGAGTTTCCTTTCCACTCCCCATCAGTCCCAATACACATAGGCTGCCCCCTCCCCATAACCCCTAGAGAAGATCCACACCGTCTCTGTCAGACGCATTGCCAGATGGGATGCTGTCGTCCACAGCAGGGATGTTAAGCAGAGTCCCCCTCTCATCCCTCTGCACCACCATTTTCAGCTTGCCCTTTGACCTCTCGATAAGCTTCTTAGCATCTATGAGGGACAGGTTTTCGGTCACTGTTCCATTAATCTAGGAGAGAAAAGGAATGAGGATCAACACCACAACATACAAAGAAAGAAAATAAAAAGGATTCCGCAGAACGTATATTTTTAGGATAAAGTTGCGGGTATTTTTTTTTTTGCTACATTAGAGAGGAAATAAAGTCAGCAGAATGTGCCACGGTGCCGGGTCAGTACGTCACAGAACCGGCCTAGTGCCGACCTTCAGCCCAAAGCTTCACACACTAGATGGACTCCCCGTCTCCACCAGTGTTGAGGGTGTGTTGACATATAATGATAAATATCCTCTTCAGAGGGCAAACCGAGCAAGCAGACGCATCGCAGGCAGCGTACACAGCCAGCGTGGAGTTAAAAACTCATGCAGCCAGTCTGAATCACTCCTGCAGTACAGCCTTCCATTTACTGATGGCTACAAGTAATGGTGATACAACATAACAGAATTCCTTATCGAAGCAGCTCCGTGCTAAAAGCAAAAACAAAACTAATTTAATGTGAGGTTAATATTCCTATTCCTATTCCCATGGATATTTCCTCCCGGCACAGAGGAGCTAGGCCACGTAGGGGGACTGCTGACAGACATAGACCTGGTTTACAGTGTTACCGGACGGGCCTCCCTCACCTTCAGCACCACGTCGCCCTCCTGGATGTTGCCGTCCCGTGCTGCCAGGCTCTCAGGAGAGATGTCCTTCACGAATATGTGACTGGCCAGGCGTAGACCATATTCTGTTGTTTGGGAGGGGGGGGGTGACAGGAACGCATATTCCATTAGCAAAACGCCCCCAGATGGGGAGGCCTGTGCCCCCAGCATGCACAGAACCCTGGTCACGCTTACAAGAAGTGTGAAGCAGCTGAATGTCAGAGCCGAAGGGCACTTTTCCACCGCACCAAGTGTGGTACTTTTGGTACGGTACTTTCAGTATTTTCCCTTTTCTATTGACTTCTGGTCAAATACCAGTACCAAACGTTCCACTACTGAAAGTGCCAAACCAACTGGGGTACCACTTTGGAACTTCAGTACTCTGGGGTGGAACCTGAAACGCTTTCTTTGTCGCTAGGTTATGCAAATAGACTGCGCTGAGACATACAAACATGGTTCTGGTGATGAGATTTTGTTATGAACATAGCGATGTAATTTAGTTGCAATAAATATTGAGGTATAGATAAAACAAAAGGAGTTCATAAATTTCTCACAAACCCGTCTTCAATTGATTTAAACGGCAAGGACGAACATGATTTTGATCGTCTCTGAGAAAGCATGCAGCTCTCCTGAAAAAGCAGCAAAGGTAAAACTTTAAACTGATCTTTCAACATATAAGAATCTATAAAAGGAATAATAATTATAATTGAAAAGCTTGCTATGGTTTTTTTTCCATATGACAGAGTAAAAATATTTTAGCAAAACTTTAACCCCCCCAGCCCTATAATGTCCAGACAGAATTGAAAGTAAGGAAAAGCTTTATTTTAATATAGCTGACTAGCGATGTAAGAATTGTATGTGCATAACATGCGATGTTTGTATTAATACTGCACATCGGCAAGCCCTATAATATACTATGGAATTGAGTACGAAACACCCTGCCTTGCGTTACGATGTCATTCGGCACCAGCAACTACACCTTGAAGTACTGTACTTTCAGTACTTTCTCAAAGTACCAAAAGTTTGGTGCCTGGTGCTGTGGGAAAGCGCCCAAAGTGGACTTTACGCAAAAATACCCCAAAGACTCTTCAAGATTTTCAGGAGTGTGAGAGAAAAAAAGTCCTGTTTAAGTCCTGTTTCAGGCTGGTGGCACCGGAAAGGAGCTACACCACGTGGGGGTCTGTGGGCTGCCAACCAGACCACAAATTCACAGAACCTCTCCCCCTGGAGAAGCCAATAGAGGCTTCCAGAACCCGCCTCGTGGCAAAAGACCATTCAGTGGGAATGGCACAACCTTAGAAGCAGCCAGCGTTCATCACATTTTGAGCCCCATGTGCTCTGAGAGGATGTGAACGTCTGGGCCTGGTGGAGGGAATGGCTTCAGCGAGGTACAGAGGCGTGTGTCTTGCTTATTCTCCAGGGCAGACCCTCGGCCTGCTCCGCTCAGCTACTGCAGCTCATGCCTTCCCAAGGGTATAGCGCATCTCTCTCACTCTCTCTCTCACACACACACTCACAAACGGTATCTATATCTTTGTGGGGACTCTCCATTCATTTCTAACCCCTACCCAGCCCTAACCTTAACTATAAGTAACCAAACAAAATAAAACACTTTTGGCATTTTTAGGTTTTTTGATTGCAGCGATAATTTTATAAAATTGAGACAGAAAAATCAGGTTACCATCACATTGTGCGGACAATGTAATATATACATAACCTCCACACACACGTGCACACATACAAGCTCACACTCGTGCACAAACATACATTCCTAACCGTGCACGCGCACGTCTTGCACATTAACAAGTAGTACAGCGTTTCCGCTGCTAATTAACACCTCTGAAGCTTAAAGGAGAGCAGAGAGGCCTACTGCCTGTCATTCCACTGCAGAATTATCGGCTTCATTTATTTCCACACCAGACACCAAAGCATAAGATATCACACTCAATCTCTGTAGTAACAGGCCAGAAACATACAAGTTCCGCGTTTTGGGTTCCTGCCCCACTGAGCGCGGCCGGCTGCAGCGGTGCCCACCTTCATTCTTACGGGACTTGACGAGGGTCACCCTGGCGGGACGCACGGCCTGGTTTGAGGACTGGGAGCGGCGGTCTGAGCGCGGCGAGAGGCTCCTCTCTCGTGATGCACTCCGGTCCCGCCGGCTGAGGCTGCGTTCACCCCGCCGGCTGCCGGTGGTCCCCACTGTTGCCGCCGTCGCCCCTGCAGCCGCCCCAGCGTAGGCGCCGGAATCCGCACGTCTCTCGTACATCTCATCCTCGCAGCTATCCTCCTCATCCTCCTGCTCGGACATGGTCTCCCTCTCCCCGTGCCGCGCCACCGGAATCTGCACCTTCCGCTTGCGCCTGATCGTCTGCACGTTAGGGACAGGAGAGTGCAGTGAGTCTCACCGGCAGCATCACGCACGCCGGCTGACACGTGGACCCGCATCTGTATGTGGAGCGTTTAGAATTTGAAGAGTTGGGTTCCATCTAAGGAGTTTGGCAGCATGGAAACAGGCAGCAACCCCCGACGGTCACACAGAGGACACCCCAGAGATGGGGATGCCCAGAGACCCCAGCCCATCCTGACTGGCACAGAATGGAGCCCCGGTGGTGGTCACCGGGCCCAGGTCATGCAGCCCATGCACAGCACGGCTGCCTTTGTCTCAGGCTGCAGTTTTTTTTTTTTTAATAATTGACAGGTGACCCCATTTCGGTGAAAGTTGCCAAGTCAACAAAGAGGAGGTTCTGGTTGTCAAAGGGGAGGTGTGTCATACTCACAATTTTGGCACTCTTTCCACTCTTTCGCAGCTGTTGCACAGCATAAGCATGATCCACATTGTCCATGGAGACAGCATTGACCATCACAACTCTGTCATTCTCCCTGTGGGGAGGAGGAGGATTGTTAGGCAGCCTGACCACCAGAGGGCAGAGTCTGAGGTGGGGTACACACGATAACCCCCACCCAGCCATAACCTTAACCATAAGTAACCAAGCAAACTATAAGACTTTTAGTTTTTTTATTGTAGTTACAGATTTTTTTGTAATATTGAGGTTATCCTTGTGGGGACCAATACAATGTAAAAAGTTACAAATTATTATCATATTGTGGGGAAATACGGTCCCCACAATGTAATAATTACAAAAACACATGTGCACGTGCACACACACACACACACACACACACACACACACACACACACACACACACACTTCTGAGCACCACCCATTCTAAGCCCTGGGGATTCTGGAATCAACATTCAAGTGAGGACTTTTCCCCCCCAAACGTCCGGAAAGACGGCACCCCCGCCCCCCTCCCATACACAAGTCTGATCCCATTTCCCGATTTCACCCAGGTAAAGACTTTACCAGAGAGTTAAACAATGCAGCATTGTCACTCTGAACGGTGCTGGCATGTCTTAAGAGGCCGAGCAGGAAGGGTAATGGGCCGGTAGAGGACAGAGCTCCATTCTTTCCTAGTCCCAGAAAACACACTAAAGTACAGCTTCTTCACTTCCCCTGGCTGCTCTCACAGGGCATTTACGAAAGGAGGTGATTATCTCTCCTAATTACCGCATGCCAGCACACCGTAATGCGGAACACAGACGTCCATATAAACAAACAAAAAAAAAAAAAAACAAGCGAAGACTTACTGCAAGAGGCCCTCGGCTGGGCCTCCTTTCAGGACGTCGGAGATGACGATGGAGGTCTCTCCACTCTGAAAGTGAGGGTTGTCCCGACCTCCGGAAATGGCGATACCAAACCCGAAGCCTGGGGCCTGAGGAGACACCGGAGACGCAGATGAGCAGCTTTGCCATAAAGAACCCAAATCAAGAAAAATACGAGCTATCAAGCAGGGCACTGCAGCACTGAGGACTGTCAGGAGGTCTACGTCCCCGAACCTCACTGCGTGCACCTGGCGGTATGACTGCTGCGTCGCATTAAATCAGGGCGGGATTTGCAGATTAAGCATAGCAGGACAGCACATACATTATTCGTTTTGCAGCTTCTTAGCTAAGAATGATGCGCATATATGAAAGATCAGTTACATAGAACCACTTCAGTGATTACTTGCAGCACTTTACAGTCTCAGCAGAACAAACTCTCAAAATAAGTGAACATTTAATAAACACCTTTAACAAGCACCTTCCACTCAGTTTATACCTGAGGCACAGTAACATGCCTTTTGATTCTGCCACTAAAGGAACAAGAGCTTTTGTTTTCTTTTTTTCTTAAATGCAAACACCACCCGTCAACGTTTAGTATCGCTGAATTTCAGGAGAACACCATGTTTTTGTTAACAGAAACCCCTAAGGTCCTCTGCACCCTTACGTTGACGTGGAGGGGAGTGACTGCATGTTTGCGCACACGTGCATATGTCAGACAAATAGTAATTATATGCATGACACTGCAGGTCTGCTACAGTGCAGAAAATGCAGAGGCAAACGACGCAGTCCCTCAGGTCCTGGGGTAAGCAGTGCACTCCCCTGACACGCAGGCTGCTCTAGAAGCTGCTGCCATCACGTGCCAGCGTCTCTACGCTGCCCCCCCCCAGGGCTGCATGGGACATGGAGTGCTCATACGAGCTTCCACAATTTTAAATAGATCAGTAGTTAACCAAGCAGGAAATAAGGACGGGGGAAAACGTGTTTGTACTGCAGTCATGCTGCTTCAGAAAGAGGAGAAAGCAATCTGCCGATCAATCACAGCGCCGTGCATCATGGGACGGGCCGCTCTACCAAACAAACAAGGCCGGATCTTCACACCTGAAGCTGTGCTAATTAGATTAGCGGCAGCACGAGCAGACTGACATCGACTGTCACCGAGCAACCAAGTCATGTGAGAAGTATTCCTTTGCAGATAAACGTATAGCATATAAACGCAAGCAAAATAGGCCAGGCCTGTTTTTCCTAGAAACCCTCCAGGTAAACCAGTAATTCCAGATGCCTCTGCCAGGTTTGGTATGAGGGGCACCTTTCAGCTGTAATCAAGGCTTTATTTCTAGGATAAAGACGTAAGGAAGTAGAACACAGTTCATAGCAATGCCAGTAACTGAGGGCAACTGTATTTATTCAACAGTTCCATTCAGTTACTGTCAAACACACAGCATTGTGGGATATCAAACAGGCAGACAATTCCTGGCAAAGGGTCATTTCCCTCACCCGGATACTCCGCACCGAGGGCGGGCAAGACCAGCGTGCTGTGAAAAATGCAAGGGAGGAAGAAACACGATTCCTCACTCGCAGGTCCACTTCTCCCCACTAACAATGGACAGGCTTGTTACACTGATAATTGTGAATAAAAGGCATAAATAAAATGCTAAAATTGCCTTAGAATCAACTGCCCCCCCCATCATAACCAGATGCACTCAGCCCGGATAGTACCATCATATTTTTGGTGGAAAAAAAAAAAAATAGGTTGGGGGGGGGAAAAACATCACAGTACAGTACTGTGACCCAGAGAGTGTTCCCGACCCAGCCCACCCCCCATGTCCTGTGGGTGCCAGAGCAGCCCTCTTCACAGGCCCAGGGCAGAGCCGTGCCACCCAGCCGGAGGACGACGACAGAGCCTCGATCTGCCTTCCTCCCTACAGCTTCCTGACATCTGCTTCTCACAGCTATTGTGCGGCCCGCAAGCACGCACCCTGCAGCTGCCGCTCTGAGGCACCAGCGGCAGAGGGAGGGAAGGAGGGATGAACGAACGGAAGGAGGTGGAGAGAAAAAGAGGGGCACACTTACCCTGTGAAGCGTCACTGTGTGCTGCTCCCATATTACCGTCTCCTCCATCGCTGCACTCTGCGAAACGAGAGGATGGGTCTTATGAGACGTCATGCGAGCAGCAGGGTAATAAAACACATTGTCACAGAAGAGAAGCATCTATACATTTACAATTTTTAAACGTTGGGTTTTCTTCAGCTGGTAGGGTCACGGTGCATCAGACCGCATCCACTACACAAGCCGCACACAAATCCGCAGTGTATTCCCGCAGGGGAAGGGATCAGCACCGATCCAGAGGACGTCCTCAGACACCCACTGAGGTTCTCTGAATGTCACGACGGCGAAAGGTCTCCCTTACAAGGCGGCACCCTGGTGCTCATCTAGCCCCAACAGTCACACGCTGCCCGAAACACACTCCCTCCCGCATCACTTCTGCAATGCAGCTCCAGGGAGACGGAGCTGCAAGCAGTCACATCCTCTTGGAGCTGTGGTGGCTGCACAGCCTGCTCCCTTACTCAAGATGCAACGCGATCGGCATGCGGCAGATCCTGCACGTTTCTCGAAGGACAGGAGGACAGACAGTTACTCACATGAAACAGGAAACGCCAGTGACACAGCCGATCAAGCAGGACGGAGACCACGCCTGCCACTGGATTACTCACAAATTATGCAAGCTTAATATGCATGCAAGGCGTTGTGTTAGAGCGGACGGCAGCTCCAGGCAGTGTATCCAGATTATTTCTGGTTTTACGCCGCGGGTACGCCGTCTATAAATAGCTCTCATGGTTGAGTTGAGCCGAGGGGTTCAGCTCAGGCAGATCGAGGCCTGAACATCTCCTGGCATAGTCCCTGCCAATCATACAGGCTGCTCCAAAACAGCCTGTGCACTTGAGGCCCATCATTAAAAGGTTGAATATGGGGTTGTGAGATTGGCTGTTATTTGGGGGGGAGCTTGGGACAAGGGCATGAGTGGCATGGGGAAATGCAGCAGCTATCATACCCTGCACAGAGCAGGAAAAGCAGTTATACCAGCCAGACATCAGCTGCAGGGGAAATCGAAGGCCACACTGGCAGGAGGCGACACCGTTGTCAATGACAACCTTCACGGTCACAGAGATCACGCTGGGCTCCTTGTGAAGATACAAAGTTCATGTTAGGTCTGCCTAGTGGTGGCGGGCACTCAGCTGCTTATTAGAAATCCTACAAAGAAGTGAAAAAGGCAAATGTCTCAGTGGGACAGAACCAGAACCCACAATATATGGAGATAAAGATTACACAGAAAAGTAAGCAAGAATGACAACTCCATGGACGACCCTTATCAGAGCTCTTCCAGGTGTCGCTGTATAACCTTTCATGTCTGCCACGTGCAAGGGCCTTTAAGCGTTTGGTGTGGATGGGTGAAGCCGGCATTCTTAACTGTGGCAAAGAGATTAATGCTCTGGAACATACCAGGGAACGTGGCAAACAAGGGGAAACTCAATTTTATAAAAAATCTGTCACTGAGAATGCCAAAAGACTTTCATTTTGTTTGGTTACTTATGGTTAAGGTTAGGGCTGGGTAGGGGTTAAGGTCAGCATGTTGTGATTCGTTTTCTCCCCATAGAAATGTATGGATAGTCCGCACAAAGATATAATTACAAACCAGTGTGTGTTTTAGAGAGCAGGAACAGGACAGCCGTCTTGAGCGAAATCAAGGATGCAGAATTCCCAGAATGCCCTACTTTACCCCTTAGTGTACCAAGCTGCCCTGTGGGCCTGATGGTCTATAGAGCTGATGCAGGTCATGGCAATGTGTAGGAGAGAGGCAAGTCCTTCAGCGCAAGACACCAGGCAGCGCGTCTGAAAGTCTATTTACTAGGACACTGACACCGAAACAAATCAGAGGCATAAACACTAGAGCGTTTCACTGCACACATGTACAGTGTATGATGAGAGAAATAAAACTTAAAAACCTGGGAGGAGAAAACAAGAACTGCATCTGGGCCTGAGTAGCCACCCCCAGCACGCATATACCTGACCTGTGCTGTGGGGGGAGGGAATGGGATCAAATGGACCTAAGACACTAGGCAGAGCCCACTGCCATGCTGACTGCTGGGGCTTTAAACTCCAGCAAACACAACAATCTGTCAGAGAGACACACATGCACTGCAGAATCCCAGATAGGAATAATAATTGAAGAGCGGAAGTATGACTTACAAGAGCAGATGGCGGCTACGTCAGTGACACTTCAGTAACAGGATTCGTGCTGGTTCGCTTCAGCCGAACGCCGCTGTATACCACGCCACCGATCCACGCCACCGATCCACCCCACAAGTTTTATTGGACTAGCTATTTTTTTATAGAAAAGAAAAAAAAAGAAAAAAAAAACACACTGGAAAGGCCATAAAAGCTACACTTCCTGCTGAATCCCGATTAGTGTATCGTTTCGCTGGTCTACCCCAGACTAGTCACAGAGTTTACTGTGAAAACAACCTGTTCCGCTTCCCAGCGGTTTTGAGTGAGAGGGCGCAGCTCTGGTATGCGTATGCACAAGCGTACACACACAGGCTCGCACACGGACCCCTGAACAGCCACGGCCCAAGTTCTTCCAGGATAAACCTGTACAAACAGGACCATCAGGAAGAACCACATGCGCAACCCCTCAGATGTTGTAGCACAATGAAGGATGTCCCGTACACAGCCTGGCGCCTCGCCTCGCCTCGCCTCACCTTCCATCCCCTCCCCTGTTTGCTGCCTACCCCTCACACTGCTGTGCTGTTGACTCCGTCAGGAGGCCAAGACAGCGACACGCTGGCTCCACACCCATAACCTTGTCACTCAGCTGGTTTCACCCTCGCCATTAAAGGCACCCAGGCAGGCTCAGCCACCTGGGTGTGGCCACAGCTCAGAGACAGAGGCAGCCTCCGTTCCAGCTGGGCCGGATGACTGGCGCAAACAAGCTCTCTCTCCGTGGAAGGAGGATGGGCGTCACAGTGCAGGATTATGGCCGAGGTTGAACACAGGAACATGCCGAGGTCAGAGACCTCGATATTCACTGAGCACAGAGTGACACATCGCGCTAGTCACAGATTAACAGATTATACGTAGGCAGTGTAGTACAGCGAGGACCAAAACAATCTCTGACCAAGTAAAATGTTTCTTCTGCAGTCAAGGAGATAAAACTGAAAGTAAAGCATAAAGGAAATAAAATGTAATCTAATATGTGACAACAAGCAGGGGCAGACAACAAGCCCTTTATTGGTCAGAATGATCCGTAGATTTATACATTAACATTTATTCTGGCCTGATCTACGGCCAAAATGAGCCCAGCACTGAGCACAAAGGACAGAAGTGGGTAACCGAACGCATGGCCAGGGCCTTGATCTGTTTTCTAAAAGGGTCTTTGTTCCGAGACACAGAGCACTGACAGCACCCAGTGTAAAGCCTTCAAAAGGCCCAGTACAAGGGGCCCACGTACATCACGGCCCAACTCACAGGCAGGACTCTGATAAGGCACAAACTTCAGTGAGATGGACCAGATCAGCCAAATCACGCACTTCAGCAGAAAGTTACTTTCACTTTGCACACTTCCGTAAAGCTGAATTTGCACAGGGTGGACTGAGGCTGATATATTCAGACATATTATTCTCTCTGCCACCGTATATCTCATGAGGGTTTTACGAGTATAACCAATGTACCCGGAGACAGGAGGGCAGGGGAGGAGGGAGCCGGGCAGAAGGTGGCAAGGGAGAAGCCAGCAGATTCAACAAGAACCCCCCCCCCCCCCCCCCCCATCCTACTTCCTGATGTTTTTCACCAAGATCCGGAAGGCAGGAAAACCATCTTTGGACCATGGAGCAAAGGGATTAAAAGAAAAGCTCCAGACATTAAAACAGACAGCGGAGTGCCCACCTTTCACGGTGTCTAGAAGAATCAAAAGAGGAAAAGGAGCAGTGACTAATGCAGTGGAAAGGCTCTGTCTTGCCGACCCGGCCTGTCACCTTCTGAGGTAATGCTTGCCAACAAGTCAAACCAGTCCTGCTTATGGGGCACATCTGAGTGCCCTCTGAGGAATGGCATGTCGCTTTGATGGATCTTCGCAACAATCTGCCCAGTACAAGACCACAGGAATTTGCTGTCATTCAAAATAATCTAACAAAAAAATCAAAACTAAAAAAAGTATACCCAAAAGTAGTGTTTGTATACTCACACATTTCGCACCCCATTTTAACCAAATAAAGTTAACTTTTACAAGTTCTTGCGAAGTATTTCAAAATCTGCCAGAAAAATTCAGAACAGAAATCTGAAAGCAACGCACTGCAGACTTCACTGGAAATGCTGCTTTTCGTGAGCCTCCCTTAGACACTGCCAGGTCCGCGCATCACCACAGGGGGTGTCTGAAGGGAAACACACCGGTCACGACTGACCATGCCAGACATTTACATAAGCATACCACGGTGCTTTAGAAAATCTACAAAGGATGCATGGGCCTTAAAGCAGTAGTATGGCAGGGAGAAAATTGCAATACATCTAAAAACAACAATCAAATAAACCCAACAGAATGACTCTATTTTGCTCAGTAAAAAAAAATACAGCAAATAACATACCATATAAATATACTGTACACACACACACACACACACACACACACACAGTAATGATAACAATACCGAGGATGCTACAAACAACCCAGCAGAACTCAAGAAGGGCAAGCTTGTGGTTTTGGAGGTGTGAAAAATCACCAATCACCAAAAATCAGGCAAACCACCTTAACCAGGCTGCCACTGCTGAACCAGAAATTGGTGCACCTGCATGAAGAGCACTTATAAAGAAAGCACATGCAAAGCTCTGGGAGTTCTGGGAGGGATTAGGTGGGGCCTGGCTAGCCTAGGAATCCCTATGCGGGTCCAACTGCTGTCTTATTACCGGGAGGAAAGATAGACCTTCTAATACACTCCCCAGTGCTAAAAATGCACCTCAACCACACATCACAGCTGTCATGGCCCAAGAGGGAAAACGGCACAGTTGGCAGAACTGACAACAAGCCAGAGTGATGGCGGAGAGTTTCTCAGTTTATCCAGCCACCGTTTGCACCCCCA